CCAACCTTCACATCAAGGTTCATGGCCGGTGATGAGAGGCGAGTCTGCAGCTGTCCTTGTGCCCGGTTCAGCCTCGGTGCAGAGAACAGAACGTCCAGGACCAAGCTGCAGTGATGTGACTGTAATGCAACCTGTTGATCAGCTGCAGTGAGTCAACTTCACCACAAACATCAGCTTCCTCAACAAAAACCCAACAAGTCTGTCTGATTCACTGTTGTTCTTTAAAGAGCTGTTCTTTTATTGTCTTCAGCCTTGACAACAGTCACTTTGCATTTCACTGCACAGACTGCACTGAGCAGGTGACAGGTGAAGACGACAGAGTGTCTCCGGTCAGAGCGAACCAGGAGGATGCTCGTTGTTTCCTTGAACATTCACTGTGCTCCATGAACTTGTACCTTCCCTAACGAGAACATCTAACGTGAACTGTTGTGTGATGGCAGGTGAATGTGTATCTGAGTTACACAACACGACGGTCGCTCCTGTTCCTGTTCTTCTTCCCCAAAGGGAAGCTAAAGGGTTCACAGTTCAACACATCACAGACGGAGTTTGACATGTTCACATAACAGGACTCTCAGTTCTGCAGAAGTGTTGTACCGTTACACAACAAAACCACTTTTCATCGTGTCCTCTGGGAAACATTCAGGGTTCTGTTGTGCCTTCTGGATCTGCAAGGTTACACTTGGGTTCATGTAACATCTACTAGCAGCCGATACACCACGAGGACACCAACTGTGCATGAGCTATAAACCCACAATTAGCTGTTTTATTTGGTTTAAAGTGCACAAGTGTTAAATATCGAGTGTGAATGTATGGACACGTCCTCAGCAAACTCCTGACGGACTTTCCCAGAGAACATTACAAGCATTGCAGAAACACTGGGAGCGCCGCCTTGTTGCACAATGAGGCCACTTCAGCAGGGACGACTGGCTGATTTATGTCGGCTAGAGTTTAGGATATTTACTGGTACAGTCTCACAGCGTCTACTCGGAGGACGCGCTCCACACATGTGCAATGGCGAGATGTCTTCTTGTTGCAAACTACGCTTCAGAATCAGAAATCCTCTCTGGATGTAAAACTGCAAACAAACATGAAGCTACTTTCTCCATGTGCACCAAGTACTGATGCATCCATTTGTACAAACTAACCATCAAAAGCACTCAATCCAACAAACAGTCGTCTGGCCAGACGGTCGAGGAAGGTGGTGGGACTCTGCAGACTGAGGTGAACATCTTATTTTACAGCACTTCTCTGTTCATGTGAGGCGAACTCACTGAAAGTCACATTTTGGCGGCACAGCAGCTCCTCTCTGTTCTTCTACATGCTGCTCCATCCACAGCTTCATCACTTCAGCTCTTCCATCAACCAGCACGATGACTGATCTACAAACACCTTCACTGGCGTCTCCAAACGTCTCCCTTAAAGCTAAACATGCCAAGTCAACACCACATGATGGCTTTTAATGCAAAAGAATTATTCATCAAAATGGAGAAAAAAAAACACACCCTCCACTTGGTCTGACCCAGTGATGTCACTCTGACATCACCATAAACCAGGAAGTGCTCGACTCCCAAACACTGGTCCTGCAGGTGAGTCCCGACCAAGAAAGGTGAGTTTGAACAAACACTGAAAGCACATCTGACCTGTAAAGGAACTAATGAACATGTTTTTGCTTTAATCCCACAAATGATGGACGTGACATAAACACAAACCACCCAGGATGCAATAAAGCAGAACACACATGAGGAGAACGTGCAGCGTGTAGCATGAAGACACGAGTTCTCACCACTGTGTCACCATTAGAAACAGGAACAGGCTAATGCAGATGTAAACAGCTGACGGATGAAGCCGGTTTGAAGCAGGATAAACACGAGTGATGCTCTGTGATTCTCTGATCACATGGAAAAGCACTTCCTGTTCCTGTTAGCTCACTTCCTTTCTAGTGCTGCTAAACTGCTGCTACCACCAGGAGACAAAACCTGCAACAGGAAACAATGATTCTGTTTTAATTGCACATGTGTGGAGTCTAATCAGGCCCCAGCTCAGTCTGGACACTCTCCATCTGCTCGTTTCCATCCAGACCTCACACAGAAACACTTCAGTCTCTTCTTTTTGTTCTGTGTTTAGCCGTCGTCGCTTTCTAGGTGGATTCAGAAAGTACATCCTGAGGGTGGTTTGTGCAGTTCACACATTTCCATGAAGGTTAAATAAAGTTAATAGTTTTGCATGAATATTTATGAAGTGAACTCCTTGTCAACGGGATCTTTCAGGATCTCAACCCTGAACGCCAAAACACAACACAAATCAAAGGAGACTGAATATCTGCATTACTTTCACAGGAGCTGCTTTCATCATTAATTTACATCATTAATCTGCAGAAACCCCTGTTCAGCGCACATGGTTCTGGCTGTGAGCAGGCTGCGGGTTCAGTCCGACTCCCTCTGCCCTTCATGCAGCCGTGCACCGGAGCAAAAACATGGACGTTGTGTCTGAAAGCTGTGAGTGATGTTCAGTAACTGTGAAGGTCTCCGTCCTGAACAGGCTCCACCGGTTCTAACTTCTGTTCCAGCACAAGGTCAGAGTCAGAAAAAAGTAAAAAAAAACTAGCTCGCAGCCATGAATTCCACTTTCAGAGGAATATAGGGGTCACGACAACAACAACAACAACAACAACAACAACAACAACAACAACAACAACAACAACAACCACAGTGCAGACATTCTGTGTGAAACGTCAGGACGTTGCTTCTGTTTCCTCCTTCTTGATGTTTTCATTCATGATGATGAGTTTTTCTGCTGGTTTCTGGACCGGTCCTGATGCTGAACAGCTGCTTCAGAGCTTTAATCCGAGGCGGCCAGCGTGTCCATGGCATCGCATCTAAACACACTTCAGCGTTATGCAGACATATAAGACATGGAGAAGTTTAGGAGACACATAAAACAACGTGAATGTCAGAAATAGATCTTATACGTCTGCAGCAGAACCTTCTCAGCTGCTGTTTGTCGTGTAACATGCTGTAAAAAGGTTTGTTTGATCTCAAACCACCAATGTTTCTGGAACGTAACCGACCAGTTTGGTGCCTGAACATCAGTCACAAAATAAATGGACAATAAGTGAAAAAATAAATGTCCAACAAAAGACATAACGTCCATCTCCTGGTGAAAAGCCCAGCAACAAGCAGGACCTTTAAACTGGAATTGAAAAATGATGTGAGTGGCAGCGATGCTAAAGAACACTTTAGAAATAAGAACGTTATTGAAATGTACATGATATAAATATGACATTATTCAGCATGAAGCTCAAGGATTGTAGCAGATACCGAATATTAAATGACTGCAATCGAATTGGAGCAAAAAGCCCACTTCACCTGGAGTTAACTGGTTTTATCTGTTACCTGTTCAGCTCGTTAGCTTCACCTGTGTTCAATCAGAACCGTCACTGAAGTTTCAATAACATCATTTTATTGGCTTGGTGGCTTTACAGAGTTCAGTTTAGAGTGAGCTGGTAATCCCTACACGGTTCGTCTTTATTCTGCACCGATGGATCCACAGATCAGAGAAGCAGCTGCTGAGTCCGTGTCTCACTTCAGAAAGCTTTAAAAACACACCTGCACAGGTACATCATATCTGATGTCTCTGTCATTGTTTTAGTTATTTTATTGTTAGTGTGCTGACGGAGCTGAAAGCACCGGCAGAAGTTCAACCAGCTGTAAATCACAACAGCATTCAATCCTCTGACTGAGTTCTTGTTTCCTGCGTTAGGTCTGGCATTAGGTCTCTGACCAGTGAGCTCATGCAGCGTGTGACCGTCACATAGCTTCAGGTGTCACACTGTGTCCTGTACGTTGCTGTGTCATCTGCAGCTCCACCACATTTACCAGCAGCACAGAGAGCACCTGATGTGACGTCTCAGTTAGTCGGTCAGACAGACAGTCGGTCCGTCTGACTGTCACCCAGTCAGTCCGTCCGTCCGGCATCCCGCTGACCTCCCACCTTGGCCTGTGATTGGCCGCCCTGCAGCAGGAAGACGTTTTGGAAGTGTGACTATTTATTCCTGCAGCAGCACCATGAGGTGATATCACTGCATGTCTGTGGCCGCATGCCCAGCGTGACGGGACACTGCAGAGATGGTGTGTGTTGGAGAAGATGAGCCACTCTGCATTTAAAATGTTAGAGAAAAAGAAAACGCAATGCATGTTCATTATAAAGAACATTAAACATTTAGGTTTAATTTCAACAAGCTGCAGCTGGAAGCTGAAGGAGCTGTGAGAACAAAGCGCCATGTCTGATCTGTCTGATCTGTGTTTGGTCGTTTGTCACATCGGGTTAGAAGGTCAGGATGCACTTCTCTGATCTACGTTAAAGAAACAGCTGATTCATTATTCTGGTGTTATGTGTGATGTTTGATAAGACAACAAAGTGTGTTTTTAAAAGCTGTATGAACTGTGTGTGTCCATAAGGAAACTTTCACTTTGTGGTCATGTTGGATTCACACAGTAGAAGCTTGTGATCATTTCTCATTCGCTGCCTCTCTGAGGATCACTGATAAAATTATTCTGAACTGAACTAGATAATAAAATTACAAGCAGCTCTTCCTACATGTGTTGTACTGAATTAAAATCCTTTTGACAGCATTGTAGTTCTAATTATTGCAGCTACACACAGGAAAAGGACAAATAAAGGGACAGATGTATGAACAGATCCATCCAAACTGTCCACAGTGTGAGACGATGGCAGGTTCTTCAGATATCAATAATACGATATAGGAGAACTTTCACAGCCCCGTCAGCGCCTCTGATGAGCAGCTCTGAGTGTTTGCAGCAGAGTGGCACCTCGTCCTTCACCTCCCATCTGTGCTCGGTGACACAGAAAGGCCAGCAGCAGCTCCATGAGTCCAAACAGGGCAGGACTGCAGCTGGGAGGGCGGATGCTGGTGGCACATGAGCGCAGTAATGTGATCCGAGCTGAGTGACAGGAGCCACAGCTATAAAAGAGGCCCGAGCTGCTGCTGCTGCTGCAGACAGACCAGACGGACAGACGGACGGACTGAACATCACAGGAGAGGGAAGACCGGTGGACTTAAAGCTACATCCACAGCTCTCATACACCACTTTACATCAAGCAGAAGAAGAAGAAGAAGAAGAATGGGCCTGCACAGCGTTGAAGAGCTGGTAAGATCTGCTGCTGCTGCTGTGTGTCAGGATGAAGTGTGATGGCTTTTCTAACCATAAAGTATATTTTTCTTGCTCAATATTCCTTTTTTTTATTTCTTCTGAACTCTTCTATTTGGTATCACATGGTTTGTTGGTTCAGTTTAATATTTTTAGCCAAAAACAAGTATTTATATAAAATATATGTAAAGAATAGAGAAATGAATAAATGCTAATGAGAATAATCCTATTTGCAATAAAACCAAAGGATGTTAAGTGACTCTCAGAACTAGATTAAGTTTGTTCACATGCTAGAATAAGGACGTTCATATGCATGAGAGCAGAATGAGCAATAATTTGTACACAGATGTTTATTGCTGGATGTCACAAGAGAGAAAAATCACTAAATTCAACATTGTCATGAGATTTTACAGCAACTTGAACTGAAGAGCAGCTCATATAAGAACTATCTCTAAAAGAAAAGGAGAATAAATGTTAATCTTTGCACATAATGCTCTTCATTAATCTAAAGCTATTGATTAATTACTCTTTACTTTGTGAGCCAAGAGGGCAGGAAGCTTAATTACAACTTAAAGGTAATTTGACATGAAGCTAATTAAGTAACGAGCAGTTTGGCTGTTTTATTCATCACATTCCACCTTCATGTGTTCCACTGAACCCTGCAGCTGTTGGACAGACTCTCAGGCCACCAGCTGTTTCAGGTGGTTCAGTAATGGGAGATATACCTCATTAAGGAGCTCCGGTGTGTCTGAGCTCACAGCAGGACCACAAAAAGAAAAGCTTCCATTCAGACGTCAGTGTTTAACCTGCTCACGGCCTCGTCGGTAGTTTAAACCAAGCCGTGGTTCAGCTTCATCACCCGTCTTCTCCTCCAGGTGACCGGCAAGAGGTCAGAGGGCAAAGAGGCCGAAGGCTTCCAGGGAGGCCAGTACGAGGCGGCGGTGAACCAGGAGAAGCAGGATGACAGGAGGTCTCACCAGGAGCTGGAGGTGGAGGAGGGCGACAGCGAGCAGGAGGAGGTCAGCGTGGCAGCTCTCAATGTAAGAACCGCCACTGCAGCTGCTGTACCACTCTGATCGTTAAATATGTGGATTTAACCCCCAGAAAAGCTGAAATGACACCATTGATCAGCCAGAAACTGCAAAAACAGAAAGATTTTCAACTTTCCGATGGGTTAGAACTGTGATGTTTAACCAAAGTCACTTTATTCCACAAATCTTGTTTAAAAATGTGCTAAAAATAAAGCTTTCATTCTACCTAGGATCTGTAAAAAACAAATAATTCTGTCCTCCTCAGTGCAGCCATGAAGTCATTCATATCTCAGTTGTGACCGACAGTCATGCTACAAAAACTCCTGGACCTTCTGGGCTGAGCTGCAGGCGGTGTTCACCCCATCCTTCACATCCACACAGAACATTAAAGTTCTCATCAGTAGTGACACGAGACATTTCTGAGTTCCTTCTAGTCGTGGTTGTGCTGTTTCCAGAGAGGTGCAGGACTTCATGTTGGAGTAAAGCATGAGTTCTGGTTAAATGTGTCCATGCTGAAGGCTTTCTGCTGCAGTGAAGCAGCAGCAACAAGCTATGGTGTCATTAATGCTACTACTCAGTCCAGTATTATATCATTATAATGGTACTATATACAATAATAATGATTATATAGACGGCAGGCCGGTGCTCATACGTCATCATGGTCCACCGGTTCCTCAATTAGTCCCTCCTTAATTCTTTGTTTCTGTTTCAGCAGAGCTATTTCTGTTATATTTCACACCAGACTGACAACAAGTCCAGTTTAAATGATGGAGTCAGTGTGTCTGTGGGTCATGCTGCCCCCTGCAGGTAGCTGGGAGGATAACACCTGGTGGTACTTCTGTGCTCATCATGATGATATTTACATTAGTTGGTGCATTTTAATGTTTAGGACACCTTAAAGGTATCTAAACATGTAAGAGCTGCATCATTCAGTTTTTCAGGATTTTATGTTGAGTATTTTCTAAATACTTGGACCGGACTCAGACGGGGTGTCCAGTACCTGGTCCAGTACCTGGTCCAGCACCTGGTCCAGCTGCACTGTGTCTGTTGGTCTGGTCTATGCAGTATTTAATGGAGTACAGGATCAAACTAGAGTACTGCTTAAAGTACAGTTATGCAGTTTTCCTCCTGAGACTTTCTGCTTTGATTTTCTTTTATTCATTAATTTGATTTGCTGACATTTAAAACAATTTACTGGCTGTTTGCAGATTTAAATGCACTCTGACACATCCTCTCGTGAGCCTTTACTTTTTGTATGTAGGTGTTTTTTACTGCCTTTGCAGTGGTTCTGGTGGTTTCACTGGATCATTACTGGGACAGAACTCAGACCAGTAGCAGCTGCTGGTCTCTGTTCCTTGCTGCTGTGCTTGAACCCGTCTCTCTTGCCTCCGTCAGACGGATAAGAGCGGCCGGCTGAAGCTGGAGACGGTGGACGACCTGTTCAACATCCTGCAGCTGAGGAAGAAGAGGAGGGAGAGGAAGGTTCCGGTCCACAAGAAACGGCAGCCAGAGCCCGAGACTGTGGTGAGAGTCTGATCAGACGCTTCTGACGTTCCTCAAATACAACATTTGATTGAAGTTTTCCTACGAGGAACATGTGCTGGAGAGGAGCAGCTCACTTCATGCTCATCTCACCGGGTCACAGCGGCTCCAGTGTTTCATTGCAGCGCCTGCAGCCTTCTGTTGGAGCAGAACATCAACGCTTCTTTGGCCACATTTTAAATCTACATGAACTTTGTGTGTTCTGCAGCCAGAGTTTGTGGATGAGAAGCTGTTTCTGACGGCGGCGATGGAGAACAAACTTCCTGTGGTGGAGAAATACCTGAAAGATGGAGGAAACCCGAACGCTGCCGACCACGTGAGTGACCTGATCAGAAACGTTGACTTCTCATTTAGGAGGTGCATGAAGTGGTCAGTAGGTGAACTTTGTGCTCTGACCTCCAGTTCCAGAGGACAGCGCTGCACAAGGCCTCCTTCAAAGGTCACGTTGAGGTGATGAAGACGCTCCTGGAGGCCGGAGCCGCCATCGAGAAGAAAGACAAGGTGAGAGGGTTAAAACAAACTCCTTCTGTCCGTTCTTTCATACACGTGAAGCATTAAACAGGTATTTAGTGGCTCTAACGGACCTCGTCCTGTCGTCTTAATGTAAATACATCATCAAGATAATTCAGCTTTAAACACCTCGTTGGTGTTTTCAGATAATTGTAGAATTTAACTTTGATTTGAGTTAAAGCTGATGAGCTGTGACTTTAATCAACTCAGTGGTTTATGTTTTATGAGAAACAAACCAGCAGATTTCCCAGCATGCTTTGCTTTGAGACTTAAACGTCTCCTGGAAGTCTTCTGTTGCAGCTTGAAGAACTCTTGATTTAAGACGTCTTAAATCCTGGTTGTTTCCAAACATAATAATGGAAACTGTGCTAAACATGAGTTGGATTCATGTTGAATGCACCAAACAGAGGAACTAGAAGGATCCTCACATGCTGTGTTTGGTATGAAGTGGTTTCAACATCTGCAGCTGAAGGTTCCTCACTTCATCTGAAGTCATGACACCTTGAATAGAGAAAATGTTCAAAGGAAACCAGTGACTTTACAGTTTGTTGAACGCTCATCAGATGATGATCAGTTCAGAGCGTTTCTGAGGCAGCAGGAGAACTTGTGTTTCTAAGTTCATCCAGCTCAGCGTCAGTCTAACCGCTGGCTGTCTGTCTGCTTCAGCTGGAGGCCACGGCGGTCCACTGGGCCTGCAGAGGAGGCAGCCTGGAGGCCCTGCAGCTCCTCCTGGACCAGGGAGCCAAGTTCACCTCCAGAGACAAGGTTGGTCCACAAAGATCGAGAGCAGGAAGTCTGCAGATCAGCTTTACTGTAGCGCCGTCTGGTGGTGATGGACAGCAGTGCACGGGGTTTATGGATATTTCTCTCCTCTGTCTGTCTCCTCTTCAGCTGCACAGCACTCCTCTCCACGTGGCCGTGAGGACGGGACACTGCGAGTGCGCCGAGCATCTCATCCACTGCGGCGCCGACGTCAACGCCAAAGACAGAGTAAGAAGTGAACACATCAGAGTCCATCAGGCTGGAGCTGCAGATGGTTAAATCACAACAACACCGATCTAAACATAAAGTTTTATGACGTCTTCATTAAACAGCAAGAGCTGCTTTGTGTTTAGTGCCAAGTTATGGAAGCAGTAAAACCTGAGTCACGGTGAGCAGCTGCTGAGTTCTTCTGTCCTCAGCGTTTGGTCGAAGCGGGCCAACGATCAGGGATCTGAGCAGTAGTGGTCCAGACATGTTCCCTGCTGTGAGACACTGCAGTGACATGAGCACACAGTGATGCTTCTCCCCTAAAACACATCAGCTAGTGAGGCTTCAGCGGTGGATGGATAATGTATAGATAACGTATAGATAACGTATAGATAATGGCTGGATGGACAGCAGCCAGCTACCAGTCAGAAGTCATTCATATTGTCAGACTTCACTGAATTGTCGTTTTCTTTCCCGCCTGCAGGACGGAGACACTCCGATGCACGACGCCGTGAGGATCAACAGATTCAAGATGATCAAGCTGCTGATGATGTACGGAGCCAGTCTCAGCACCAAGAACTCTGTGAGTAAACCTCCCAGAACCCAGAGAACCATCATCGCTGCATGAAGTTTCCAGTAAAATGCTCCACTGGTCCCAGTGTGATGAACCTGCAGCACCGTGCTGCTGAGGGCTGCAGGAGTAAAGACCTTCAGACCAGCTGTTCAGTTTATTGTGTGAAATTAGAGAAGTAGAAACAACAAAATGCACTTCAGGTGTCAGAAATAAAAGTGGTTCCTTTAAATAATAGAAACATGTAAACAGCCAAACAAGGCAGTGATGACCAGAACAGACCCATCAGACTGGACTGTTGTCTTACTGGACCAGTGGTACTGATTGATTCATACGTATGCTGTACATGTTCTGAGGTTTATCAGTGTTTTATGAAATGACTCTAAGGTTTGCACAAATAAACCCAAAGATTATAAAAGGAGCAAAAAGTCCAAAGTTTCATGCTGTCAGGCGGAAACAAGCTCCTGTGACGTTCCTCAGATTTTTACTTCAATTACTTCTCTTGTGTTGATATAATAAAAATAGAAACAAGAAGAATCTGAATTAGGATGATTAAGATGAAGGTAAAACAAGAAAACAACATGTTCTAGTCAATAGAAGCTGCATAAAGACAATAAGTTTGTTCTCACAGACTTTACAGACACTTGGACGGACAAAGCAGAAACAGACGAGTCTGTCAGGAAGTGCTTGTCTTGGGTTTAAATTAACCATTGCTGTGCCATGTGTGCTGTCTGTAGTGCATTTAAGATGTGGTGGAGCTCCTCCAGGTAGCAGCAAAGTATAGATAAAGTGGCTGAGTGCTGTAATAAAACCTGAAAAGTGAAGTTCCCCGTCATAAGGAACCACCACTGAGCTGAGGAGCTCATCTACAGGATGACTCTACAGGAAGAGCTTTACTGTAACAGTTTATTGACTGTTTTATTGTCTGGGTCTCTTGTGCAGGATGGAAAGACTCCGATGGAGTCGCTGTATTCGTGGCAGAACGGCGCCAAGAGCCTCCTGTACAAGTGCAACGAGGAGAAGTAAAGTCCAGAGGCAGGCTGCAGACGGAGCTGCTGGCTGGTTCGGGGAGAAGAGGTTTAAGAAGGGGGTTCATTCTGTATTTTCTGGTCCATTCTGAGGTCCATGAACCAAACACTCATCCAGGGAAGCTTTTCCACGTGTTTCTCAGCCTCGTGTTGACTCACTCTTACGGAGTCGCTCAGGAAACCGGCTGCTGGAGGATCTCTTAGAACTTTATTTTACTCGCCTCCTCCTGGTTCAGGGATTTGAACCGGCAGCTCCTTGGCCTGATGGTTCGACCTGCAGGGCTGCCGACGTTCACGTAGACACACTGTGGAGAGCAGCCTCTCACCGACAATGTGAAATCTGATCAGGACGCCGTTAATAATGTGATCATTAGCTCTGATAGATTCATTGATCGCCACGTGTTGCTGGACAATGTCTCGGCTGACGGTATGAAGATGATTTTTCTTAACTTTACTTGAAGCTGAGTTGAAGTCAGCAGGTTGGTGACTATTTATTGATTACTGACATTAGGTTTAGTGACAGAGTGGCTGCTTGTCTAGACTCATAGCTGGTTTCATGCATATTTATGGTCAGATTTAACCAAACATATGAACGACATTGAGCTGAAATGAGAGATGCTGCTTCAGTGGTTCCAGGTGCTCGTCAGCTGGTTTCCCTGCAGTCTGCATCAAAGCCAGTGTAGACAAACACACTCCAACCAGAGTGAACAGAACTGAGCCTTTTGTTTTAGTAGATGATGTGTGCTGTTTAATCTTTGGTCTTATGTATTTTAAGATTGAGAGATGAGATGGAAGAAGCAGGTTTTTGAGTCACGTCCAGAAGAATCTCTCCACTTTCACCTTTATTTCCATTGATGATCTGCAGATCCACAGACAGCTGGTTTCTTGTAGAAATGCACCTTTTCTCCTGCAGCGTGCATTCAAGCACAGAACAAACACCTTTCTGGGTCTGTGTATCTGCAGCTTAGATTCCCTAAAAGCTTGAAGCATTGATTTCTTTGTAGGTTTAGTCCAAACAACCTTTGAACATCATCGAGTTCAGACTTTCTGTTTGGTCTGCTGAGGTCCAAACAACTGATCCAGGGTCGCCTCGGTGGCACAAACTGAGCTCCAGTCGGCTTCGTGTCTGCTGCTCGGCGACCCTGACGCCTCAGCTGCTGACTAGTTTAGTTCACTTGCACTGACGATGTTGTTTCTAGTTGTAGTTTATTCTTTATGTCTAAAACAATAAAGTGTGAGAGAGGACGAGCTGAAGAGTCGCCGTTGGTTGAGAGGATGTTAGACGAGCGTCTATGTGGCTGAAACAGGCCTCCATGTATTTTATTTTATTTTTTAAAGATGTTTATTTTGCCTTGTATTTATGGATATGAAACAAATAAAGCAGATTTTGAAATGAAGATGTCTTGTGAGCATTAAAACAAACTGACTGTTAGGATTCAGAAACAAAAGCACAACGTATTGATCATAATAATAAATTGATCAATCTGAAAACACTGGGAGGCAGCAAGCTTCACCAGAAACTCAACCAAATACAAGTAAAAGGTCAATAAATCAAAGGGCAGGATAAAAATAAATCCGTTAATTAAAACAGGTTTTTATTGTATTTTTTAAAAGCAGTTTGCTGTTATTTTACAGACGTTCCCTGTTTTGTTGTTACAGATAATAATCATTAAAATCACTGAGAAAATAAGAATAATAATAATAAAAAAACAATCATTTACATGTTAACCCTAAAAAGTGGTGATTCATTCTTTTATACCACTTCACTGTCAAGTCACACAGTGATTAAATTATTATTACTGTTATTATTTTACAGATAGAAGCCATGACTGAAGAGAGAAAATAAACATATAGGAAGTAAACATTTAACAATTTTATTTTCCAGAATTTCTGTTTTGTTAAATCACATATAATATCTAAATTATTAATTTATATAAGATTATACATCGATTTTATTTTACGCCAACAAGGCTGATCCCTTTGGTGGAGACCTCAGGGAAACTGCTGCATGTGATCTCCACTTGCACCTCATGGTGTTTAGTCTATGTCCAAAGAAGAAGTGATGAAAACACATGGAAGGTGAACATAAAATCAGGAGCATGAATTCACAAGTGGAGTCTTCCCCACGTTTCACACACACATCGTTTTTCGATAAGATCCTCTAGTTTGACTCAAACCTGATCCTGGCACTAAGACTTTATCAGAGTCAGATGGAAAGCTGCCACGCTGGCCGTCGGTTAACGATCTTCTGTGAGCTGTAAAATCCCTGCACTGCTGCACAGCGGCCCTGGAGCACATCAGTGATTGTATTCTGCAGTGAACCCCGTCGCAATTAATGCAACAACAGAGAAGCTGTGAAATGAGCAGCTGCAGAGAATTCATTAAAAGATGCACCAAGGCCAGACTCATTCAGGTTCTAAAAACGTTACAGTTTCTCAGACACAAACCTGTCATGGTTTCGTTAAGGTTTCTGACCCACATGCACAGAGACTCTCTCAGAAACGGAGGCAGGAAAATGATTTTATTGCAGAGGTTAAAATGTGTAAAGGTGAGACTGATCCAGGTGGGGGCGTGGCTTTGTGGACGGCCGTGCGGTGGTCAGTGCAGTGGAGTGAGAGGGAAGCAGGAGCATCACCAGTCATGAGCAGATGATCCAGGAAGCAACGGAGAAAACTCAGGTCTGGAGCAGGTAGGTTGTGGGAACCACATGCTTGGAGCAGGTACACTGGAAAAACCTTCAGAGAGGGAGAAAAACAATTACTCAGAGTGTTATGTGCTGGGGGCACATTTTTTTTTACCCTTTATTTAGTTTTGCATATTTTCCCCTCGTTTTGTGTTACTGGAGCATGTTTAGCTCCGTTTTTTCCGGTAATTGATAGAGCCACTGCTCCGCCTATAAATAGGCTGGATTTTTGTCCTCTCTCTCTCGCTTCTTGCTCCTGCCTCCCAATCATCGCACCTCCCGGCTCCTCCTGGCTGCAGCGCGCCTCGGACCGTGCGCGCTCTCGCTCCCCAACTGCCACGTTGGCAGCCTGGCTGATGCCGACCTGGCATCTCTTCGTTTTGATTTTTAGATTGTTTGACCCGGCGGGATCGGCCGGCCAGTTTTCGTTTTTTGGACCTTAGGTTGGTGGGAGTTCTTTTAGTTCGGTGTTGGCACCGGCTTCGACGGCCCTGTATAGGGTTGGCCCGGTGCCACATCATTTTGTTTTGTTTGGCCGACCTGCCGGGTCCACCTTTAATTTGACTTTGTTTGTTTTTTTAGGGCACGGGGAGTTTGGGCGGATTTTCATTTTTCTTTCAAATCGTTTAAAAAAATAAAATAAATGAAAGTTGAACTACCCAGGTTCCCTGTGTCTCCTTTTAAAATATGTTGGTGCCTTTTTTTTGGGCCATAACTCAGAGGCTCAGGAAGAAGCACGAGAACAACTCAGGAGGAGGCTTGATGTTACCACGTAGGTTAACACTCAGGCCATGAGTGACTGGCAGCCAGCTCCTAAAACCCAGGGAGTAACGAGCCTGATGAACCACAGGTGTGTGAAGAACACACCTGCAGTCCCAGCACAGCAGGAGTTCTCCAGGACGCCCTCTGGTGGAAACCTGCAGGAGAACCTCCTACAAATACTTCATATTCGTATTTAGCTTTTAATTTAACCCAAATTTAATTCAGTTTGATGTATACAGCGCCGAACATGTCATGCTGTCCCAGCTGCCAGTAATCTTAATCTGGTGCTTTTCCAGTTTTATCTTCATAATGAATGAATCATTCTTACGACTCCACCGACATGATTATAGTGAAAAGAACCAGATATGGCTCCATAGCTTAGGTGACCACAACAGGTTGTAAAACGGAGCACAGACAGTTCATGTTTGTCATGTCTGGCACAATATCTCCACCAGGAGGCGCTCTCATACACATGCTGTTGCTGTGACTGGGTGTCGGGCTGATTGACAGGAGAATGCAATACCAAAAGTCTCAGCATGCACAACAAACAGCCAGACAAACCTGTCAGAAGTGTTTCTACCACCAACCTCATCTCTGTGTGTGTTGTGAGGAACGTATCTCCTGCACCTTTCTTTACATGACTTCACGTCTGCCAGGCTCCACAGAGAAGCAAGAGTGTTCTGAAGAGCGAGGTGGTTTTTCTGGTACGTCAGATACTCACCTCTAAATGACAGAAATCCTATGAATCTCAACTAAAACTCTGAAATGTGCCTGTTTAGATTCCAGGTCATTGTTATTCTAAAGGCTTCAGCTTGAGCTCTCTTTCTGTCCTGGAATGTGTTTCGCCTTCATTGAAGAGGCTTCTTCAGTTCTTCCATTCAGAAGCAATTAAATGAAAGTTTCACACGCACCCAGAATCCTGCAGCACTGCTCATTTCACCACGACCGGATCATTCCTGGTTTTAGTCCTGATCTGTAGCTGCTGCTGTCACCGCCCCCTTCAGGAAGAAAACTGTCTCTGCACCTGTGATTGCCAGAGTGGTGCAAAAAAGTGTCTACCACCAGAAGCTTCTCCATCCATCATCTCCACATCGTCCTCCTCACTCGGGTCATAGGGGGCTGGAACCGATCCACTTTCTACAGTTAGCAGAAGCAACTCTTGTGAGACAGCTGCTCATTCTCACGTAGAAGCAGGAGACAGGATTATGGACATGGACTGATGACTACTGGGGTGTTCGTTGGCAGGTCATCTATGTGAGTGGGATGGGCTGAAGGAACCACAGCAGTCAGCATCTTCATGTCCTCAGAACTTTAATTTTACACCTTCACACATGTTAAAGACTTGCACAACACAACCACAGTGGATTTTGACCATATAAGACCTTCTGCATTTTACCCACTGACCAAAAGAAGTCCAACAACAATAAAGAAAAAAGACACCGACCTCCCCTACAGCCCAGCTTCATCTCCCTGCAGACGAACACACAGATGAATAAACCCCTGAGTGCAGGCAGATGTAAATCACTACACTGTGATTTCTTTCTTCAAAGGACAAACAGTTTAAAGTACCTGTATGGCCAATGGCTCACACTCAGCTCCTATACTGTACCTACCATGCTTATAAAAGTATTCAGTGTCCTGGGCAGTTTTCTCCTTTAAATGCTTTTCAGCATTGTGGTCAACTGAATTAGACTTCTTCTTGACAAGAACTTACAAAAAAAAAAGACTCTTTTATGTCAAATAAAACTGATTTCACTTTGACTTAAAATTGTCAAATGTTTAATAAGTGATTGTACACGTGTTCACCATCATGATCGCATCTCCCCTGATTCATAACAGCTGCAGCCCATTGGTCCTGTCAAAACAGTCTAATGATATCAACACCAGTTCAGCATTAAAAGGCTAATAAAGAGGGGTAATTCCCAGGACATAGAAGACTATTTCAAAGGCACTGTGTGCTTTGGATGCAGAAATGTCCCAAGTGATGGACTCAAGGGATAATTAATGGTGCTGACTGGTCTCTATGCTGTTCAAGGCGACACAGGAATGCTAACACGTTGTGCTGAGCATTGGCTCCGATGCCCGCTTCTCACTGTCACTGTGTTCTGTAGCATCACCTGCAGGTGGCGTCGGTTCAGGTGAGTGCTGGACTTTCACTTTAAACACATCCAGCTTCTCAGGAAGCAGGTTTTTGTTGAAGAGCATAGAGGCCAGGTAGGAGAACAGCAAGATGAAAGCAATGGCAGATGACATGCAGATGATCCTCACTGGGGAGTACTGCACGTACACACCGTCCTCAAGAGTGCATCCTGGGAACTGGAGGACAACTGGCAGTCCAAGTGTTGCGTCTCCGCTAAGCAGTCTTAACCCCAATCCCAGCAGCCCACCTAGAATAGCCCCGTAACCGTTGGAGACTTTAAAGAAGAGGACGCAGACCAGCTGAGGGAAGATGATGATATAGGCCGCTTCAGCACCAAGCATCCAGAACACGACCACGCTGTTGTTCAGGCTGGTCAGCGATGTACCGACCACACCCACAACAACCACAGCAGCACGGACCAGCCACAGAATCTCTCTGTCTGATGCCTGAAGGAAAAGAAAGAGGAACAGATTAACTGTCAGTGACTGACTGCTGTATTTTTTATCCTTCATAATTTCTCCATTGAGCCGCTTTATTCTCTTTCTGCTTTCTGATTATTCTCTTTCAGAATTAATGGCACATCTTGACTACAGTCAGTTTTGGTGACACGGAGTGATTTTTTGTTTAAAAAAGGGGGAAAAAAAAGAGGCTAAATTCACCTGAGGCCTCAGGATGTTCTTGTAAATGTTGGAGGAGAAAACAGAAGCCGCAGAAAGCAAAGCGGAGTCAGTTGATGACATGACGGCGGCCGCCACACATCCAATACCAATGATGGAGACGACTGGTGGCGTGAGGTGCTGCAGGGCGATGGGCAGGACGAGAGCTGCTTCCCCACGTTCATACGGAGATGGAGAACCATAGGAGGTCAGGTTCCAGTCTGAAGCATGGACACAGAAGGAGGACAGACTGAAACATGGTCGCAGCATCAATTTGAGAGATGAGCTCTAAGAAGGGACATGCAGACCCAGAAGACCCTTCATAGACCCCTGTTTTCACAGTACAGCCCAGTATATGGAGGCTCTCATTACCTGTGGATGAGACGACAGCCCCAAACAGAATAGGAGGCACCCCAAATACAAGAATCAGGAAAGCTGCAGCAATGCACGAGAGCTTGGCTGCGGCTGAGGACGAAGACGATAAGATTCTCTGGTGGAGGCACTGATATCCCAGACTGCCCAGCACCTTGACAGCAAAACAGTTTATTATGGGTTAAAGTCAACACTACTAAACTCCTGCTTGCTATTAGCACTCAAGTGTACGTTTCACATACAGAATCTTTAATGCTAACTTGAGTGCTCAACAAAATATTCACCCCTTGTAGATTCCCCCTTATATCACGTTTCAGCACCAAATCATTGTCAATTTAATTTAACTGTCAATTCAACTTTTTTTTCAAGCATCTTCATGAAATGTTATTGAAAAGGACGAGTCCAGAACATGTCCAAACCACTGAGTACAGGTGGATCCATCATTAAGGAAGGAACATGGTTCATGTGTCAATCTGCCCACAGCAGGTCCTCCTCAGAACACTGTGGGACCATGACGCTGACAAACTGGTAAGCTTCAGCAGCTCAGATGGGAGACACTGTGCATGTTGCCTGTTCTTCACCAAGCAAAGCTTTATGGAAAAGTGGCAAAGAGGACACAACTGTTGAACAAAGCTCATATTAAATTTCATCACAAACACACCATTCCCTCTGTGGAGCATGGTGGTGGCATCATCATGCTGTGGGCATGCTTTGGCCTGGAAAGCTTGCAAAGCTAGAGGGTAAAATGTCTGCAGCAAAGTAAAGGGACATCGTAGAGGACGACCTGATGCAGTCTGCAAGAGAGCTGTGACCTGGGAGAAGCTTTGTTTTCCAGCAAGACACTGGCTCAAAGCATATATATATATATATATATATACCCCAAAGCTGAGGTGGTTTAAAGACAGTAAGATAAGTTAGTGATAACCTCAAACCAACTGATTATGTGTTTGGTTTACTCACAACCCTTCTACAACCTAACAGAGTTTCAGTCCAGATATGTAAGGCTGATGAGGACCGATCCACTCAGGATCAATGGTGTAGTTGTAGCTAAAGGTGCAGCTACTAAATACTGACATTCAGGAAATTAAAACTTATGCAATCACTTAATCTACATCCTATATTGTTTTTAATAAACTGTTATTTAATTGAAGAAATCTGTTTTCACTTTGACATAAAAAAGAAGAAATTCTTCTCAACAAATTGATCACGACTCAGTGTTGAAAAGCATCAACAGTCAAACTTCCAAAGGGAATGAAAACCTTTTATAGGCGCTGTAAGTTGTAAAGAAATACTGTTTTAGATGATGGTTCCTGTCCAGAGCAAATCTGGTTCTTTAATTAAAATTAAAGATATTTTTGGATTCATTCTTCTCCATATTTTTGCTTCATCCTACCCAGAATATGAAGTCATCGATCATGATCCAGGTCCGTTTCAGCTGCAGTGCACCGATCCAGGGAGCGTGTAAGGTGTTGTTCATCAGAGTGTCACTGATGCTCAGCGAGTAAGGGTTCATCATGACAAAGGGAACACAGATGAACTGCACGGACAAATCAACACAAAAAAATCATGCATGACTTAAGAAGACGTCTTGTGCAGTTTTGACAAATAAAAAAAGGATGTCAGACTCACCAAGCCCACAAATATGAGGATGAGCTGTATAACATCTGTATAGGCCACAGAGTAGAGGCCTCCCAGCAGGGTGTAGGTGATGGCGACGGCCGCAGAGATCCAGATGGTCACAGCGTAGGACAGGTCCAAGACCACACTCATGGTTGCTCCTGCCAAGGACAGTAAGTCATGTTTACACTATGTTCCATCCATGTACAGGTGAAGTAAATGAAAACTCACATAAATAGATATAGTGTGAACATGAGTTACCTAGACCAATTAGTATGACGGCCACCCAGACCACATCAATGAACAGAGACACCACGGACAGAACAGCTGTTAGTCCTTTCCCGTACTTGGCCTGGAAAGGGTCGAGCATCGTCAGGTATCTTCTCTCTCTCATTGGTTTGACGAACACGAAGCCACCTGGATGCAGAACAGGACAGAACATGACAATTAGAAAAGATGCAGTGATGGCAAAGCTAAGGCCACCCTCTGGCTGGGGGGACTTGTGAGTATCCCCACACCCACCTGGCGCCTCTCACTGTGGGAAGGAGAGAGTCCAACCCCTCTCCAGGAGTTTGGTTCTGGAGCCCTTGCTGTGGGTGGAGGTGAGCCCTGCTATATCTAGCCAGTAGCACTCCACCTCCTGTACCAGCTCTGGCTCCTTCCCAGCCAGTGAGGTGACATTCCATGTCCCCAGAGCTAGTCTACGCCACCAGGGGGCGGTACGCCAGGACGCTCGCTCCTGCCTACCACCCAGTGGGCATAACACCCGACCCTGATCTTCTGCCCTGTGGGTGGTGGGCCATCTGGGGAGTGACCCCATGTTACTTCTTCGGGCCTGATCCAGGCGAGGTGGCGGCTTTCCTTGATTGTGCTGTCATCTAGGGACTCTTTGTCTGGTCCCCCCCCCAGAACCAATATGCCTTGGCAGACCCTACCAGAGGCTAATGCCCCGGACAACATGGCTCCCAGGATCACAGGAACACTCAAACCCCTCCACCGCGATAAGGTGGCGATTCATCAGGGGGATACAGTAACTATCACAACTACTTGATTACATTTGTGTTACTTTAAACATGCAAATGTGACGTACTCTGTCAGCTGTAATGTTAAAGTCTTACCAAGAACAAACGATGTGCTGTATGCTGACACCATAATCAGCGTCCAGGTCAGTCCCATAGATGGTGTGTACATCATCTCAGTCAAGCCAACGATGAAGCCTCCTCCAACCCATGTAGCTACGACATGGATCAACACAAACACAGCAGGTTGTTTAATAGACAAATGCCGGCTGTTGAACAGAAGACCAAAGGTTGAGTTCTCAAACCAGGATAATTTGATTAATTTAGAATCACACACAATGAAGACAAAACACCATTTAGAAGACTTCTGAACTTGTCCTGCTATATTTACACACAAGGTATCATCTATATAGGTACACTTCATTTTGAAAAGGCAGCATATTTTCCAAATCCTGGTCAGTTCCTTCTAACATCTCCAAGCTTTTACTTTGAAAGTCAAGCACACTTCACGGACTGGCGACTCCTTGTAAATACCATGTGTTCTTGTGGACTATGGAATTAAGACTTAAATATTACTAATAATAAATGCTGGCTTCAGTAGAACTACTCACTGAGCTCTTTTACTGGGCATGAACTCTTATTTTGACAGTGAACCCAAGCATGCAGGTGGTTTGTCCATCCCTAGGTGTGTGAGAAAGAGACAGGAAGATGTTCTGTTTGGTCAGCTCCTGGAGATTCTGTTTCAGTCCAGCACAGGTGGAAACCATGAAGCAGTGTGTTTATTTTAAAAAGCCAGCAAATCACAGATTCCCTGTACGTCCGTTGTAACATTTCAGAACTTTTATTTTGATAGTGTGGTGTATCTTAATGCATCCTGCTAACTAGGGGCTTTTACTTTGAAATGCCCATATAAGTGAACTTTGCATAACATAAAATTATAACAGGACATCAGTTTGTAAAAATAAAGGTGATTATCTTACGTCATGTTGTGTCCACAGTTAAGACTAAAACAAACAGCAGAACAGTTTCTTCACTGCTGAATGGATCATTTGTAAAAAGGGCATTTGCTGTTGGTTCACTGGGTTTCTGTCGTGAATTAGAAAAGAAGACGCTGTCATTTACTGGATATCTAAAGTATAATAAGTGCAAGTGTTAGTAAAGCCTCCAACATAAAAATAAACAGATGCTGTTTGTCAACATTATCGCCACGGTGATAAAAACGTGTCTTCATAATTTATCTTCTCTTGTTGAAAAGTAAAATAAATTGAGATATTAACATATAAGTCTTACATTTCCCCCCAACGATGGAGACCTAAAATGAAAAGGGAAGTGTTTTTGTTTTTGCTGTACACTGTTCTGGGCTCGTGGACTCTCTTCTCTCTTCTCCTAAAACTCCTAAAACTCCCCAACAAGCACCAAACAGCCTCCAGCACTTCTCCTCTCTGTCCACAGGCTTAGAAATGGCCAGAGTTAGAAATCAGTCAGTCTACAAGTCAAATAACAGACAGACTCACTCACTGTATGAAGTACATAAACTACAACATTAGTTTTGTTCAGTCTGCTGATGTTGTTGCAGCTTTTCTACCATCTACAGTTGATTTACGTTAACATGCGACCACCACCTTAAACTAATCAGAGACATTTAGACCATCACTGTCCTGTTTCTAGTTCAACCACTTGCATGTTGTCAAACTCTTTTAAAGCGTTCATCCTATTTGGGCAATAAAATCATGTTTATTACGGGCTGTAGACGCCGGTCCTTCTGTCTTTGTTGTGATTTAACATCCAAAATAACGTGGAGGCCCTTCTTGTTTTCACATTCCTCGTCCCTGCTTATCAGCTGAAGCCATATTTTGGAGCCTTTACTCAGTGAGGCTGTTGCTCCGTTGCTGTTCGGTTTTAAAAGCATCATTCAGCTCCCTGCTCTCAGCTGTGTGTTCCTCACCTGTCATGGTGAAGATCCCCACCACGCAGTTGATTCCCCGGTTCCCCAGCAGGGCCATCTCCATCTGGGTTGCTGCGCTTTTCTTCTGCACCCTTTTGGACTTGAACGAAGCCCAGATGCCGATCCCGAGGACCAGCAGGTAGAAAAGCACCATCGCTACCACGCCTGGGATATTCACAGCCATGATGGTTGAGCTGCACTAGCTGCTCTCCTCTGAGCGACCGAGGAACCGAATGAAGGACAGCATTCCAGAAGAAAACTGGAAAAGCCGAATCCTGCTTTCAAAAACATATTAGTGCCCTCTGGTGAAACTGGTTGGTTTAGTCACTGTAAAGCTTCTTTAACATCTTAAATGCTGAGCGAGAGTCGCTCTGGTTAGATGTTTTACACTCTTGTTTTGTTCTTCTATGGTTGATGTTGTTTTATGTTGTCTGGTGTTTTAATAAACTCTGGTTCTCACAGAAAAACTTAATCTTGGCTTCATTTTTGATCAATCAACCTAAATGTAAAATCACAAGACCCTCGGTCACTGACCGTATTAGAAAAGTCAACCACTGAGTTCTGGATCCTCGTGTACTTAAGTCAGTACATGAGGGGGAACAGAGGTGCCATGAAAGACCTGAACTCTCACCATAAATGACAGAATGTCCCTGTATCTGCAGCAGCTCTGTATCTATGCTGCTGTGAGTGAATGTGTCCCATGCTTGAGGTTTTGATTCTATTTCTTCTTTCATCCTGAACTTGAGGAGAAACTGAGACATGGTGGACACAGTCGGTCATTTACCTTCCTGAGCACACACATCTGTCAGACCTCACGCTGAATATTGACACCACCCCATCACATCTGATAAAATAATCCAGGCCTCCGCTCACCCCGGCAGCCAGCTGTTCACCCTGCTGTCCTCTGGGGGGCGCTGTAGGTCTGTTCAGACAAAACACAGGAGTTTTTACCGATGTACAAGAAAGAACTGATCTCTCACTGCAAACTATATAATATCCCTACATCAGTGATCTGGGTTTGTTTTGCTCCGAGCTCATGTCTGCATGTTGGATGTATTCTGTTTGTACCAAGACGAGGGATTGCTCCCAAATGTTCTTGTAAAGTTGTAAAATGTCAATAAAGGCCTTTTATTCAGTTCTATTTTAATACTGCACGTCACCGCAAACGCAGCATTCGCACCATGAAGCATGGAGGAGGCAACGATGTCCCAGCCAGTCACTTTACATCATGAGCCTGTTTGTATAGGACTCCTCACAGCCTCTCCATCAACCGCTTGAACCGCTGCCATCAGCCAAACGTTTCCAGAGCGTTGAAGGAAGAACCTCCAGAATGATCAGCAGCTTCATGCCACCAGCTGTCAGAACGCTGAGCTGCTGATCCAGACATGCAAACACTTCTTCATTTAAACTGCTTCAAGTGATTGGATCCTGAAGAAGCGCCATGACAATAAACTGGACTTGATTTTAGTTCAGTTAGCTCCATGTTTGGGCTGCTAGCAGACATTACATGCCTGGTTAGTGAGGAATGAGCGCAGTAGTCAAACATTTTTATGTCTGTATGTGATTAACTTTTAGCTTTTGGGCGTTTCTGCTCTGACATGCAAACGTCTTGTTTCTGTCGTGGCAGCAAACTGTGATGAAGTTTAATAACACTGTTAAATGTTCATCAGCTGTGTTTCTGCCGCACAGAGCTGCTCCTGTTCTAAAGTACTTTTAGCAGAGCCGTTAACATCCGAGTTGACTGATCCTTATTTTAAAGAACATGTAGTAGCGAGACTCCCTGATCCAGACGCCCACGGCTGATGTTGTAACTGTGGCCAAAGGTGTTCTACCAAACACTAACTTGATGCTTTTCTTATGCAGTTTATTATTTTATGTTTTAGATTTATTTTTATAACTGACATTACTGTGGAGAAATCAGGCTGTAGAAATCTGTTTTCACTTTAATTTGTAAGAGTCCCTTTTTTGTTGTTGTTGTAAAATTCTCTTTAAAAAAGCCAAATTACATCGACCCTGATTTAATGCTGTTAAGCAACAAAACGAGAAGGGGGGCAGAGCCGCCTTATCAACAAGCGCCGATGCAGTTTCTCTACTTTTAGCAGCAAAGACGTTACGTTAGCGTCTTAGCTGTCTGTTAAATGCTTAGTTTTCCTTCCTCTTTATGTGCTATAGGCGCTAAGTTTACTCCAGTATTGAAGTGCAGTTAATAATTCATACTTTAG